TTTTGATTGGTCTACTGTTACCAGGCAAAATGTTTTTGGCTGCATTAGCCGCACGTCAGTGTTCACAGTGAGGGGAAAGTAGCGGCTGATGACCTGAAAACTACGGTACTCAGAAAAACATCGTATTTATTTGTAATGAGCATTTTTCAAAGGAGGCGTGACGACACTGACCCTGGACGAGCACTGACAGACCCACTGATCCCTCAGTGTGTGGTTGTGTCACTGCTGTGATGTAGAAGCTGATGTTGGTGTGGGTGACTCAGGCGGAGAGGGAGTGTGAAGGACGCACAACAGTGTGTTTCCATGAAACAGGTTGTGTTGCTGTGACTTCTGACCACACAGAGCTTTGTGTGCATCATTACAGCTGTTCTGAGATCAGTGTTGTGTGTCTGTGTGTGACAGCACAATCACAGCCTTCCTCTAAGTCTTCCTCAGCACTTCCACTCTGGTCACAGTGTTCATACAGAGCTTGGTTCTTCCAGCACATCAGAGCACGTGCAGTTACAAAAGCATCATGATGACTGCACACACCGAAGGGTTTGAAACCTGAAACCAGTGTTTTTAAACGTGCACTCCTGTTAATGGCCACACTGGGAAATGCCACTGGCTGTGAAACACGTAGAAACACGCCTGCGTGGCCTCACTCAGTGTGTGACCTGAGGAAGCCCTCATCATTGCTTTTATTAATGATGATGTCATTTACAGAGCATGACTGAGGATGACCTCAGATCCTCCGCTTTCAAACGTCAAGATGCTGTCGTTTCACAGCAGGACTGAACCATTATTCAAAGTGCAGCGCACAGAGAGACGAGCAGTGAGAAAAACAAGCTGATAAATATACACTCAGAGGATCAAGAGAAGTTTAAACTGATGTCTCACTGGGTATCACAGAGATGACATGTGTGTTTAACACAGACGTTCCCTCCTCAGTCACTGAGGGTGAGTAACCGTCTCCAGTGTCTCCAGTTTGGGGACAGACAGCTGTTCTCCAGTATGGAGACGTCTGCTTCTTTCCCTGGGACTCGGCGCCTTCAGGCGACTCTGGTTGTGATTTGGCGCCACATGAATCACGCAGAATAAAAAGAAAAGAGCCGTGTTATTAAACCTGCAGTATTCTGAGCAGACCGAGTGAAAGCTGGCAGTAACTCGTGTGGTACATTCGTCACTGAGGCCTGTGGCAGCAAAGCTTTACCTCTGTGACATTTTACCTGCACAGTCAGCCTCCAGCTTTTATCCACAGGGTTTGCATACAAATGCAGACAATCACTGCAATCCAAACATTCGTGGAGTGTGTGAGGCAGACAGCTGCTGGCAGTAATGGGATTTCTCTTTGCCGCGCAGAAGCCTGCTGGGCGCTGACCTCCATTTAGATGCCCAGAGAGAGAGATAAAGCCTTGTGATGAGGACTCCCCCCGTGGCCGGCCGGGTCACAGGGCTGCTGTCAGTCACAGCACACATCTCTGTGTGTGTGCTGAGCTGCAGATGCTGCTGGAGTGTGCAGCAGACCTACAGCCGTGTGCATGTGTTACACTCTGCTGCCAGTGGCTGATCACTGCATGTTGTCCCCGTGCTGTACAGGAAGTGTTTGACTGCTGCTGCTGTTTAGTGTAAACACACCTCCACTCCTTCTGAAACTCCTTCTTTGACCATCTCTTCCAGATCCAGCGCTCCAGGAACAAGCAGATGAAAGAAATGTTTCCTGAAGGTTTCGGCATCCACCACGCTGGCATGCTGCGCTCTGACCGCAGCCTGATGGAGAGCATGTTCTCCAGAGGCCACCTCAAGGTCCTGGTCTGTACCGCCACCTTGGCCTGGGGAGTGAACCTGCCGGCTCACGCTGTCATCATCAAGGTCCTTCATGGGTTTAATGTGTTTGTGCCACCCTGAGGGGCTCAGAGCGTCCTTTACTTTGCACATTTCATCTAAAGTCAATAGTTGAGTTTAATTGGCTCTTTAAGTGTCTCACACATGTGAACGTTATTCCTGTAAAGGCCTCACTTATCTGCAGGCAGCTTGTGAGACCATGCACTGAAGTTTAACGTGGTTTTATTTGTTATTTTAGCTTCACTGGGTGATATCGCTCGCTTACTCTGAGCGCTCTCCGCCTGCACTCACCCGTCTCTGCTCTGATGCAGGGCACCCAAATTTACGATGCCAAGCGCGGCGCCGTGGTGGATCTGGGCATCCTGGACGTCATGCAGATTTTTGGAAGAGCAGGTCGTCCGCAGTTCGATAAGTATGGCGAGGGAACCATCATCACCACCCACGACAAGCTGAGCCATTACCTGACCCTGCTCACCCAGCAGAACGCCATAGAGAGCCGGTTCCTGGACAGCCTGGCCGATAACCTCAACGCTGAGGTAACGCAGTTTCCTTCTGCTTCACTTTGAGCAGAGTTTAGCTTCCACAGTCCGAGCAGGGCAGCGATGACATACAGACAGGTGCCAGGATGCCTGTTACCCTTAAATAACACAGCTAACATTTAACATGGACTACAGGCTGACTCAGGTCATAGTGTTTGAAACAAGCTGTCTTCAAATCTGTGAACTTGCCTCAGTTGTAAAAAGCTGTTTTACATCTTTAAGAAAAGGATTTAAAGTGTTGCTGGGCAGAGTAGAGAGGAGCAGCTGTGCTGTCAGCTAGTGTCCACTAGATGGCGACAGAGGTCTGTGAGCCGCTGTTCTCTTCCTGCTGCAGATTGCTCTGGGAACCGTCACCAACGTGGAGGAAGCTGTGAAGTGGCTCAGCTACACCTACCTTTATGTTCGCATGAGGGCCAACCCGCTGGCGTACGGCATCAACCACAAAGCCTCTCAGGTTGGTCCAGATCCTGGAGGGCGGGGCCGTCCCCGGGGGAGGGCGGGGCCGTCCACTGGTGTGGAAAAGTGTGTTTTTATATGTTTGTCAACACATGTAGATATACAGATACACGTAACACCAAGTTTCTAAATGAAGGTGTTCATTCAAGCCCTGTGTGGAAACGTGCTTCCCCCTAAAGCTGGTCGCTGATTGGACCACAGCAGCCAGAAGTGTTTACTGCAAAACACCCAAAGGATGAATAGAAACAATAACAATACTTTAATTTGTGTTACATCAAAGATAAGTGCCGACACACACCTGCGCACACGTTCAGCTGATCTGATGGAGGCTGTAACTGTGACGTGTGTGCGTCAGGTGTGGAGCTTCCTGTGTGGATTTCAGTGGGAGCCCATGAAGGGAACCTAAACACATGTCAGCTTTGGCTGTGCAGCTGCACCGACACGAGGAAGGAGAGAAGAAGAAGTGCAGAGTAAAAGTAGAAGGTTCATTTCTGCAGGTTTCTTGGAGGAGTCCAGAGATTCAGACTTTGCTCAGAAGGGTCTTAGCACATGGAGTATGAAATGTTAGACGAGGTCATAACTGAACTATTAATGAACGTTGTGATTTAAATGTATTTAAAACACAAAGTTGTGATTACTGAAGTCCTTCTCGTGCTGCGGGAGCTCAGATGGATCCAGCTCTGGAGCTGTACAGGAAGGATCTGGTGGTGGAGTCGGGCAGGAAGCTGGACAAGGCCAGGATGATCCGCTTCGACGAGCGCACCGGATACTTCGCCTCCACAGACCTGGGCAGGACGGCGAGCCACTTCTACATCAAATACAACACCATCGAGGTAAACAACTCACATGCTCACTGCAGAGACGGAGCATCGCACAGACACAGACACACACAGACACACACAGACACACAGACACACAGACACACACACACACACAGACTCACTCAGACACACACACTCAGACACACACTCGTACAGGAGCCTGTACTAGGCCATGCATTTATGTACAGCATCATCAACAGTAAACTTCATCCTGCTGGATTTGTTGATAAAAGCGTCACTTATGTGCATCCAGGTGAGAAGCTGCAGAGCAGCGTGGAGCCACAATAACAGAGAACGTGTCACGTTTAGAGCCGCTCTCAGTGCTTCTGTTCACACATGTTCCAACTACTCAACACACGAGTGCATCACAACATTCATAGTGTCCTTCACACAGGCAGCTGGATGAAGCACAGCTGCCCAGGAGCTTCTCATCAGCAGTTTACAGTTCCTGTAAGCACAGTACAAGCTCTGGTTGATCCAATAATCACAAACGTTTCTCTTTCCTCCACATGTGAAGACGTTCAATGAACATTTCAACCCTCAGGGAACAGAAGCCGACATCCTCAGCATCGTCTCCAAAGCTGAGGAGTTTGAACAACTCAAGGTGAGTTATAGTTATCAAATAGTACAGTTTGTGTTCCAATAAAAAGCTCTGCTCCAACTGAGCACAGCTCATATAATCCAGCTCGTGTGTGTTGCTGTGCGTCG